GTACTAATTTATGAATTACAAAGAATTTTATAACACATTTTGTCTTCGCCCCCCAACCGGTTTTACATTTCCACCCCTAAATTATATGTTTGAACTATCGATATACTTTTGTCCAAAAAGGCAATATTAATTATGGCTAATTGGGTTGTCTTATGAGACTTCCAGCTGAAATATCGATTTAATAGGTGTTAACGTAACATTAACAGTTTTTATTTCATCTGAGTTAATTTTTATTTAATTTATAAGACAAGTTAACAGAAATAGAGAACACACTTGGGAGTACTTTTCTGTGTAAATGTTTTCTAATTTTGACTCTTTATCTTCCATCTTTTGAGCATTTCTCGTTCATGTCTTGATTAGGATATATTGATTCAGTATTTTTCATATTTATCTGACAAATCTAAAAAAAATCTATTCTTTACATTTTTGTCTAGTTCTTGCCTTTACTTATTTACTCAAACTTGTTTTTCCTTTGGCTTACTAGATTAAATGTTTATTTATTTTTAATGGACTATCAGAAGTTGAAAAATGCCGAGCAAGAGCGCATAGATAAATTGGAAAAGTTTGAAAACAAAGCAAACTTACAGTTAGAGAGGCAACTCGTCATGGCTTCATGTTGGAGCAGAACATTGTTGACTTTACAAGGAAAACTGAAGGGAACAGAATGGGATCCTGAGAACTCGCATAGGATTGATTTTAGCGATTTTTTGAGGCTTCTTAGCTCTAACGACGTTCATTTCATGGAATATTCTAATTTTGGTCAGACCGTCTCAGGTTTGTGAAATATATGATTGAATTTCTATCTTTTGCACTGTTGAATTCTCTTTTATGCGTTTCAGAAATCTCATGCCTGATACCTTTTCATATAATGATAGGATTTTTGTCATCATTAGTCATTAGCAATGATTATGTGCCATACTTTTAATTATTTTTTAGAACCATCATGCATGCACCCACAAAATTATGTTAGTTTTGGCTATATTCTATTAAAAAAAAAAGAATTGTAGGAGGATGTCCTAAAAAAATTGTCTGATGGGAAGAAAACTGATTAAATTTAGAAGATAGATGATCTAAATTAGAGGAAAAATCAAAATATAGAAACCAACAACGGTAAAAAATTGTTCTATGGTGTTGTTTTTTATATTTTTGTTTAACATTATGCACTTTTAAGTATTTATCTTCTAATTTTAATCATCTATCTTTTTTTTTTCCTTAAAAAAAAAAAAGAGTATCAAGATATCCTGATACACATTTGAACCGTTGTAGGCATGGAAAACTTTTTAACTTTTTATTTGGAGTTATTGTATTAGGTTGAAAGTAGCATGGGGCACATGTCAGTGTGTTTATTCAACATTTATCATAGCTGCAAGCAGCTTTTGCACTTTGTGGTTTACTAGTAATGTTCACATTTTTCCTGCAGTTATTTTACCTTATTATAGAGATGGAGGTGGGGAAGCACGTGGGAACTCTGCTAAAGAAGTTGTATATCGTCGCCATATTATTGACCGGATGCCCATTGATGCTTGGAATGATGTATGGGAGAAGTTGCATCAACAACTTGTAAACGTTGATGTTTTTAATGTAGATTCTGTACCTGCTGAAGTCTACTCTACTATTGCAACTGCTGTTGTGTGGACTATGCGATTTATGCTCTCAGTTGGTGTATACGTCTGGATTGACCGAATCACGAGGCCTATTTACTCCAAATTGATTCCGTGTGATTTGGGTACTCCACAGAAACCAATTAGACAACCCCTTAAGCGTCATGCACTAGGATCGCTGGGCAAAAGCCGGTTAGTTCTAGTTATTTATGGTATTTGTCGGCCATCATTTTGAATTTCTTTATAAATGTTATGATAACAGAATTTCTTTTGACTGCTTTATATTTACTCGGGCACATGCATGGATACCATATAGAGCTTGATATGGTGTTATATATTGTAGTTTATTCTGTGAAGGGTGTTATCATGAAAATGGACACCATGCATATCTCTCTTGATTTCCTATCTCTGTAATGATTTAATTTGTAAGTCCTATCAGGAAGTTAATTTGCCATTCTGTATGGACCTGTAAGTTTTTTGTTTGTTTTTTTTTATTTGACTCGGCAATGCTTTCACCATGTTTTCCAGGAGAATTTCTTTTGTAACCATGTCAAACTTTTAAGTTAATTCTTTTATGAGATTTCAACTGTTCCAGGCTTTATATTTTAAACTTAGTTAATGAATATGATTTTTTTGTTATTTGATTTTAAATGTAGTGATCTTAGCACCCTAAATGAAAATAGAGTTTTTTTTAATTGTTGTATTAGTAAAACTGAATTAGAGAGGCTTTAAAGAAAATAAAGTGTGGAAAAGCTGTTGGACCTGATAATATTCTAATATGAAAATGCTAAGGAGATGATGAAATTTCTTGGCTTACGAAACTTTTTATTATTTTTTGAAGATAAAAAGGATCATGATTGGAGGAGTGTGCTGATCCATATTTTTAAGAATAAAGGTGACCCATAATAGTGTGTGAATTGTAGATGAATTAAGTTAATGTGTCATACATAAAAACTATGGGTGAGAATTATTGAGCTAGGTTACGATGTGATACTAATTTTTCTCAAAATCAAATTGGATTTATGTCGGGTAGCTCTACTATGGAAGCTATACATTTAATAAGAGATTTGATGGAGAAGTATAGGGAGAATAAAGAAGATCTACTTATGATATTTATTGATTTAGAAAAAGCATATGATAAAGTTCCAATAGAAATTCTTTGGAGAGTTCTAGGAAAAAGGAGTTAATAATGCTCATTCATGATATGTATGTAGGAGCTGTTACTTGTATTCAAACACAAAGTGGGTTGACTAAGTATTTTCCTATTTTAGTTTGGTTACATCGAGGATCAGTTTTAAGCCTATATCTTTTTGGCTTTAGTCTTGGATGTTCTTATTAGACATTTACGGAAGGATGTCTCATGTACCATAGTATATGCTTTTTGCTGTAGATATTCTTCTTGTTGATAAGACTAGGGAGGAGTTGAAGGAAAACATGAATTATGGAGGACAACCTTGGAGTCTAAAGATTTTCGTTTGAGTAGATTTAAATCTGAATACATGGAGTGTACTTTTAGTACTAATAGATCTAGTGTGGGGATTATGATTTTGGGCGATCAAGTAATTAATAAGAGTACACATTTTAGATTTCTTGGGTCTATTATTCAAAAGGATGGTAAAATAGATGGGGATATTATTAGTAGAATTCAAGTTGGATAGTTGAAGTGGATGAATGCATCCTGTTGTGCGACATAATGTACCCCTTAAGGGAAAATTCTATAAGATGTTGGTGAGATTTTCTATGCTTTATGGTGCAAAATGTTGGCCATTAATATAGAAGCATAAAATTAAGTTAAATGTTGCAGAGATGAGGATGCTTAGGTGGATGAGTGGCTTCACTCTTAGAAACATAATGCAAAATGAGTTTATAAGCAAAAAGGTTGAAGCAATGGAAGATAAGATTCGAGAGAGTCGCCTAGATGGTTTGGAAGCAATGTTGGCCTTTTGATGACACGGTTAGGAGAGTAGATGTATTAGATTTTGTCATGGTTAAGAAACGTCGAGGTAGAACTAAAAAGATTTTGTTAGAAAATATTAGCAATGAACTTTTTTTAATTAGATTTAAATAAGTATTTGACTCTTAATAGAACACAATGGAGAAGAAGGATTCATGTAGCCGATTCCATGTAGTGGGATTAAGGCTTGATTTTGTTGTTGTATTTGTTTTTACCCCTATTTGGGAGCTTGTTTCACCCTCATCCTTTTTATATTGGGTGTGCTTGATGGAGTTGGAAGATTGAGTTTTATCTTGCAATTTTGAAATAAGTTTCAATCCTTTTCTATCCACTATTTGACAGGGCGAAATTTATATCAGCTGAAGAAACTACAGGTGTCACATTTGATGATTTTGCTGGACAGGAGTACATCAAGAGGGAATTGCAGGAGATAGTGCGAATTTTGAGAAATGATGAAGAATTTCAAGATAAGGGAATCTACTGCCCCAAAGGTGTGCTTCTTCATGGCCCACCTGGCACTGGAAAGACTCTGTTGGCTAAAGCCATTGCTGGTGAAGCAGGTCTTCCATTCTTTGCTGCAAATGGCACAGATTTTGTTGAGGTGCGTGTGTAACTTCATTCATTTCCCTTGTTTCCGTGGGAGGTCACTGTATAATTTTACACTATACTAAAGGATTAAAAAATGCCACTATAAACTTTAAGTTCATGTTTTGTGTGATTTATTATATATTTTAGTTAGGAAGATTATTAGTATTGTTTAGGCAGTATTGCTTATGTTTGAACTAATGCATTTTGAGCATATACAATATAGATGTAATTTACATGCAAAGAATAGGGAGGAAAAATAGGTGACCAAAAGTAATATATGTGTAAAAATTGTTCAAAATGTTTTTCTCAAACTTGGAGTTAATTTACTACATTTTTGAAAAAGATAGTAAAGCAGGATTCACAAAGCTAACATAATTCTTTTAGCTTAATGCTGATGGTGATAATGGTTATGCTATGCTTTTATGTTGGATCCATTTTATTCTTCAACTCATCCACATTATCATCTCTTTCGCTCTTTATGATCTGTTAATGCATGGAATCATAGTTGTCATGTACTTAGAACATGTCTGGTTGTATTTTTTTTTGGTTTATATACTCTTTTTAAACGATGATTTTTTTTGGGTTATTGAGTCATATGATGTATTTTGGACCATTTATGTATTTTATGCACTTCGAGTTTATTTTGTCTATTTTGACTCTTTTTAACCAGAATTGATCACCATCATAATGTTTGACCTCCATATTATCATTTTTGCTTCTATCTCATCATCTCCATCACCATGACCGTCCTCATCTCTCTTGTCTCTCCTTGCATTAAATGCTACAACTAAGGAGTGTTGGAAATGCCTTGAAAAAATGATGCCATGCATGATTGGAACCACTTGGAGTGATGAGCTAGCCTAACTGATGTGATAATTGTCTTATTGCAAATTATCCTATTATGATTACCCTTTTTGACCAGCCGTTGACTACCATCACCAAACCTGACATCCATATCACCATTTTGACTTTTCAAGTCATGTTTGACTTGCCTCCTCAGTCCTCATCACTAACCCTTCCATCCATTGTCTTATTGCAAATTATCCTATTATGATTACCCTTTTTGACCAGCCGTTGACTACCATCACCAAACCTGACATCCATATCACCATTTTGACTTTTCAAGTCATGTTTGACTTGCCTCCTCATCATTCCATCACCATGGCTGTCCTTCGCCTGTCTTTGCTTGCATTAAAATGCTACTACTAAGAAGCCTCAGAAATTCTTGAAATAATAATTCCATGCATTTAAATTGCCTAGCATAATGAGCTAACCTAATATTTATATCCTTTTGTCTAGCTCAAATTAGCCTATTTTAAGCTTTTTTGACAACGTGTTGCCATCGCCAAAGCTGACCCTCACATCACCATTTTTGACTTGCCACCTCATCATTTCCATTTTTATGCCCTCATCCTCTTCCCTTTTGTTGAAATGATATCATTACAAAGGCTTGGAAATATCTTGAAATAATGATGCCATGTGTTGGAATTATCTTGAAACCTTTGAAAACCCACATGAATTCTTCAAAACCTCATTTCCATTACTCCTTCCCTTCCCCATGCCACCCTCTTCGAAAAACAGTAAAATTGAAGTGTTGTGTTCCTTCTTTAATTTTTCAGTTATTCTCAAACCAAACTAAAAACAATTACTTTTTCACTCAATTTTTCTCAATCAAACAAGCATGTGAAAACTAATTTCAATTCAGTTCTGTATTCATTTCAATTTTGAAGTCCTTTTAATTTCCTCTCATTTAATTGATTCAAAAGCAAACAAATCCCAAGCAGCACTGCTACTTTTTTTTATCTTCTGTTGGAGGCACATATTATTCTTCTGGTCCTTAATTGCACGATATTGTTTTTTAGAAACATCATTAGAAAATAAGAACACTCCAGGTATTGAATTTTTCCTATTAATTAAACTCTTGAATCTTCCCTATTAGTTAAACGATGTAACTTCTAACTATGCATACTTAAAGTCAATGAACTATATTTATTATAAGTTGTATGCGTAGACACTTAGATGCATTTGCAGGTGCGGTTTTGCTTCATCATGCTTTTAAATTACATGCAACTTGAGTGGTCTGGTTGGCTCGCCGGACAACTCTAGCCTATCCTAGGTTTGCTACTGTTAACTGAACTTCAATATGAGCAAGCTAGATTTTTTTTAAATAAACCGATCTTTGTTTTAAACGACATCTTTTTGGAGGATAATTAAAGAGGGTATGAGAGGGAGGAAGTGGTGAATTGGATATCTCTCATACTCCATATATATTCTAAAAACGACATCTTTTTGGATTATCATTATAGATGTGGGCTCCGAAAACTCGGCCCCGGCCTCCCCTCGCTTTTTTTTTTTATTCGGCGAGAGAGTTTTAACTGAATAAGTTCCGGGGTAAATTTTGGAAGGCAGATGGGTTTGTAGATAAGACACTACCCAGAGATTTCGCCCTCATTTTGTGAGGACTTTATGATCTGAGTTCTGGTTTCCTATAGGCGCAAGCCCCTATAGTTAATTACCCCTCCCGATAACGAGAGAGAACTTTCGATTAAGGCTAATCGTCAATCAGATTCGTATAGAGATACGTGCATCTGGCATATAGTAGCAGCATAGATTTGGATTTGAAACTTTGAAGATTTAGATTTGGATATTTATTGGTTTTGGAAGGTTTAATATTTAAAATAGAAATTTCACCATCTTGCACTTAAAGCGGATGGTGGGGGAATGGATGTTAGACCCGATCAAGATCCCATGGTTCCGTCGTCCCGGGCCATCGTGGTCCCTGGTCTACTTAGTCATAGGAGATAGTCGACCCAACCTGACAGAAGGATCCTTGTCGGCAGCCATGGGTTGCTTCGTCCAAGGGGACCTTGTAGACCTTGGTTGGATGTTTGTCTAAGGGGACAAATTTGAATCCACCTTAGCTAATAGAGGGCTTTGTGCCCTATCGATCATGTCCTATTGATTCATATCTCAAGGATTTAACGCCACTAAGGAGCGTATTGGCTCTGGCCATAACCGCTATATGTAGTGCCATTTGGCGGCAAAACCACTCGGTTCAGAGAGCCCCGGGTCATAACCGTTTACCTGCAGTGCCATTTGGCGGCGAAACTGCCGGTTAGAGGACACGTACCACGTCCTTACTGGCAAGAGATTGTTTGAGAATGGATCCTAGTAATATTTTCGACTAGGCATTTAACTCTTTTGTAAGCTGAGGTAAATTTTGATTTGTCCACCCTGACAAACTGTTGCGGAGGGCGGATGGATTTTGCTTTAAGCGCGTTGATGGATTTATTTCATTTTTTAATATTTTTGGATTTTTAGTGGAGTTTTTGGGTTTTCGGATGGAGCTTGGAAGACATTTGGATATTTAGGGGACATTGAAAAATATTTGGGAACCCCTCCGGTTAAGATCTGCATTCAACACGGCCATCATCGGGGTGTTTTTGGGGCATTTCCATTTATTGATTGAACCTTGTCACTCTGTCGGGCTGTCGACAGAGGATCGGGTTTCCTTAACGAATCTTCTATGACAGCTTGTAGAGATTTGTAGTCACTTGTATTTGTTATGCATCCTTTGCTCTTGTTGGTAGAGGATCAATGTATTTGTTGTTGCCTTATTACAAGCTTGTATAAATATCTAAGTGCTTGTCATAGGCTCCTTGTACCCTTCTTGTAGATGATATGTTATGTGTATGGTAGAACTTCTTCTGCTGCTCGAAAAACACTTGCATTCATTTTGTATTATTCGCCTTTGCTTGCAGAAGACTGGTGTATTCAGTTGTATGCATATAGTTGGTCGTAAGCAGAATCCGACATTCACTGCATATTGCTCGTTGTATGTTGACTTTCAACATACATAAGTAACTGCATTATTCATTTGTGAGCTCCCTACTATCATTACTTAAATATTGACATAGCATTTACCATTCACAGCTTCATAGGTTGTTTCTCTATTTGTTAATATTTGTCTTTGCTTGGAAGAATTTGGTGTATTATCTTACAAATTTATATTTGAAGACAAGTTCTTCGTTGCCTTTGAAAGCAATAAGATGGTAACACCTTTGCGTGTATGATTAGCATATGCATCAATCATCCTCGTCCTTATATGAACTGTATGACATTCATTCGGATGTATATCACTATCGCTCATGCATGCTTACATATACCCCATAGTTGTTTGTAAGGGAATGTCATTTTCCTTTACTAGTTAGTTAACATTGATCGTAGAGACATCGCAATGTTGACTACATCTTCTTGCATCTCCTTAAGTACTTGTAGGGACTACTACACATGTTTGCAAGACAGTGGATGTCGGTCAAAGGTGCTTCTACACAACTTGTGCGGATCTTGTATATTGAACTGCTATCATATTCTAAGAATCATGAAATCTTTCATTAATTAAGGGAAACTTCATGTTATCCATCATTATCATTTGTGAGTGAAATATTTCACATATGAGTGACAATATTCACCGAAGTATTCTTGTGTATCTATTTGTGTTTTAGATTACACTTCCTTATCAACCAATGATTGCATTCGTATTGTTGTTGCTCATTGAATGCTCAAGTTATCTTCTTCAATTTATTATCCTTTATGTGTAATAAGTTCCATGTGATTTTGTAAGGTTCAAGACCAAGTTCAATATGCAAGTTCGATCCAAGTCCAAGTTCAATTTTGTTTGTTGAAATTGATTCAAGTCCAAAATGGTTCCAAATCATTTGAGTTCCAATCCATCAAGTTCAAGTTCTTGGTATTCAAGTTCAGTTCAAAACTCATTGCACCAATCTCCTTTGAGTTCAAGTAGTCCATATCTTGTTTTGAGTTCAATGTAAAAGTTCATCTTGCAAGTTCGGGTGAAGCTCAAGTTCACTTGAGTTCAAGCTTATTGCTCTAATCATTTGATATTTAAATCAAATGTAAGCTCGAAATCTTATATTTTCAAATTTATTTGAGTTTAAGTTCAATTAGGTCTAATTGAATCAAGTCCATAAGTCCCATTTTTCTTCAAGTCCT